AATGATTGGCGTGGAATTGATAAATATAGAAGTAGAAGAAAAGACCTGTATTTACCGATATGGACAGCTAGATTAAGAAAATAAGGCAAAAGGTTTGTGTGGAATAGACTTACAAAGACCCGTATTTTTACAGGTCAACTCAGCTAGTTTAAGATTAATTGTCCAACATTTAGTTCATGCTCAAGCTTATTTTCTATTCAACAGGTCCCTAATATTGTTTTAAAAAAATTTATTTGAAAATAGATCAACATAGTACTCAATTGAAGGGAAATTTTATATAAATCCAAAAAAAATTGTAAAAACAGATATAAAAAAACTTATAGAAACTTGTGTTTTTTATTTTTGATATAAAAACTGTAGTTTTTCTGCAATAGAATCTAAAAAAGGATCAATACAAAAAAAAGATAAATCCACCATATTAAAAATACTGAGTTATGATTTTCTATCTGAAAAAGCTTTAAGCACTATAATATCTACATATATATATATATATATACATACATATATATATATATATATATATATATATATATATATATATATATATATATATATATATATATATATATATATATATATACATATATATATATATATATATATATATATATATATATATATATATATATATATATATATATATATATATATATATATATATATATATATATATATATATATATGTATATATATATATATATATATATATATATATATATATATATATATATTTATTGAGAGAGTGAGAGAGAGAGAGAGAGAGAGAGAGAGAGAGAGAGAGAGAGAGAGAGAGAAAGGATATCTTTAATTTATTGAGTGATATCTTTATATTCTTGAATTCTTGTTCTTCTTGTTGGTAATCAATTATGATTATTATACAGGGAGCAGAAATAAAATCTTAGTTGCCCATTTATTTAAACCTCTGAACCAAATTAGCAAAATGGAAAAAGTTAAATGTTCTTTTTGCCATAAGATTATGTCTAAAAATTGAAATTGAACAAAAAATATGTTAAAAAACTTTGCAAATGTCCTGATATAGTACTATATGAAAATGTCTAAATAAATAAATCATATAATTAGAAAAAAAATGCAGATAAATTACGAATCATCAGATGAAGGTGGTCTGGGAAACTCAGTAAATAATAATAATTCCAAATTTATAAATTTTCCTTGAAATGAAGTTCAGTATAGGGCTTTTTTTTTTATAAGGGCCTACTAGCGATATATATTTTTTTGACAAATTTAACAAACAATGTAAGACTAAATTACTACACATTATACAAATACTCAAAGAAATAAATAGATAACTTATTTCTTTGAGTATTTGAAGCGTGACATTAAATTGGCATGGTATTAAATACTAATATATTTGCATTATCAAAATTTAAATTGTAACTTTCTTATACAATAAAAAATGTTTCTATATATAATGAGAGTAAATTCAGTGTCTAGATATATAACTAAGTTATAGCTAATTTAATTTTTTATTAAAATTATTAGTTTAATGTTTTTGTTTATACATATACTTGTCCTTTAATGATCATATATCAAAATTATACTAGAATAAAGGAAAACTATTCCAAAATTTATGCCAAAAAAAACCCTGAAAAATTGCTTCAAAAAAGCAAAACAACACCAAAAAATGCCAAAAAAAAACAAACGCTTTTTTTTACCCAAAAAAACGCCAAAGGAAAAAATGCACTTTTTTTGCAACTCTACGCATATATAACATGAGTTAACAAAACCTAAGATGTGGTCTTGTTGTTCTAAACTCAATAACTTACACATATATATTAATATTTATAATATAAATATTAATATATATAAATATCTTTTATATGAGAGTTATATATTCAAGTTTATTTTTTTCAAAAATGACATTTTTTCAATTCAATTGCTTGTTACTTTTTAGTTGAAAATAAAAATTAAATGTAAAATACCTGACGCCGGTAGAAAAAGAGATGTAATTTTGACAGTTTGAAGAAACACCTGCAAAGTTTGGGAATTACGCTAATAATGCTAAATGCAAAAGCTGTGGTGTTCAAATGCAGGGTTTGGTTGCTTGAATGAGAAACCACAAGTGTTAGTAAATTTAATTTTTTGAAAGATGGTCAAGATGATGAAAACATTATTTTTGTAGATATAGTAGAATATATCAACCATAAACTCTAACCCTCCTAATAGAATTGATGGTGGAAAACTACTAGATACTTTTTACAAGAACTTTTTAACTAGCTGTTAAGGTGTGCTTCATGATCAGTTTGAAATCACAAGTATTAATGGGTAGAGTAATGTCCATAACGAACCAACAGTTTGTGTAACAGTACCTATCTTGCATATACAATTGATACCTCCAGCCATTCACATACTTCTGACTATTTGGTTGACGTTGCTGTTAATTCTATAAACAAATGTGAAAAATAATTTGATTGTACAATTCTTAGTCAAGTAACTGATAACACAGCAAATGTGTTGAAAATGAGACAACAATTGGAAACTCGAGATGATGTTAATGTTATAATGTATGGATGTTCAGCTCATATTCTCAATCTATTGGCCCAATATATGGTCATTCCACACATCAAGGAGCAGATAGTTCAAGTTGTTAAATATTTTATAAACAACCATTCTGCTGTTGCTATATACAAATCAAAAGAAAGATTACAACTTATAATTCCCAAAGATGTCAGATAGAAAATATTGGCTGATTCCTATCTAACCCACTGGCCGATTCTATTAACAATTTGTGAAGAAAATAGAGCAATAGCAGAAGAACTGTTACAAATGCTTAAACCAATTGCTATTGCATTTTGGCTGTACCAAAATTCGGCTCCGGCTCCTGCTCCGGTCGAAATCCGGCCATTTTTACAAATCCGACCCATATCTGGCAAAATGTTAGCAAATCTGGCATAATTTTAATTGAATTTCTGAATTTTGGTCAGATATTTATTATATCTTTCTTGCCCGTGATAACATGTATACTTGATATTTTATTTTTACAAATTAATGTTTCTAGTAATTCTATAGTCTATGAACTTATTTTTGTTTTTGTATCTTTATTTACATTTCTTTACAATTTAATTAGCTAAGCCTAATTTCAAACAACAACGCAACAAAAAATTCTGAAGAGAAGACACACGATATTCTGCAATAATGCAGGTGTAAAGACTATGAAGTCAATCCTAATCAAGTCATTGGATGAGCATTTTAAAGGCATTGACGAGAAACCTTTTTATATAGTGGTGACACTGGTTGATCCATAATTTCAAACTCAACTCTTCTCATTATAGGCAACACTGACAGGTGAAAAAGCAAGATTGAAGTCAATGAGCATGCTGAGCAGCAGATTGACAAAACTAAAGAAAATCCAGCAAAACAATCCCGGCTTAAAAAAATTCTTATACATTATCTTTATTACAATGGCAATATATATAGATGAAATTATTCAGCCTACGCCCGCTTGTGGCACAGCACATGAACAACAATTACCAACAGGCATTGACACTCAGCTAAGCCAATATCTGGAAGAATCAGAAATATATAGACACGCTGATTCACTACAGTGGCGGAGTGACAACATCCCGGAAAAAAAAGTTCTATAGAATTTCTCTAAATTTTTTAAACATATGGCCTATAGAAAATCTATAGAACTTATTTAAAATGTCTATTAATTTCTATAGAAATTGCTATAAAACTTTTAAACAACAAAAATGATGTTTAATAGAAAATAACTGTCACTTGATGATCTAAATAGTCAACAGGATTTTGGTTCCTGTAGTTTTGCTTCAAAATCTGGCTCCAATTCCAGCCGTATCTGTTAGTAGAAATCGGGCTAATCCGGCTTCGACCATTTTTGGAAAAATTAAATCCAGTATAGCCCTAATTGCATTAGACATGATGCAGTGTGACAGTTGTACACTTGGTGTAGTATGAATTAGGAATTATTGAAAGTTTTTGATTAGCTACTTACTGCTGTTGCTTCACCTGCAAGAGTTGAATGGACTTTTTGATTGTTTGCCCTTGTGCATTCAGACATAAGAAATAGACTCAGAACTGAGAAAGCAGGCATATTGGTTTACTATTAAAACTGTTTAAGTAAAAAGTTTAAAAGTTATTAATTGGAATCAATGAATTTAATTGAATCTTTAAACATTTGTAAATAATCAACATTAAAATTGATTTTTTAATGTTTCAAATTGACTTATGATTTTATGATATTTATAAAAACATGTGACTAACATGTGAACAATATGTAATTAAAAGTTTATTTTTGAAAATGTAAATCGAAAAAATCTGATTTAGATTCAAAAAAAAATCGAAGTTAAAAAAATTAATTTTTTTGATTTTTTTTTCAATTGCGATTTTTATCGACTTATTCAAAACGTGATTTTTATTAACCCTGTTTTTAAGTAATTCTGATTTTTAGTAAAAATTGATTTTAATTATTTTTTTTATATATATTTTTGTTTAAAATTCAAATAATTATTTCAGAGAATGATATAAAACAATCAACATTCTACAATTTTAACTGTGTATCTGTAACCATGGTTAAAAAGACTGCAAACTAAAAAATGGAGAAAAAACCTTGTACAAACTCATACAACAGACTCAGATCTTAAAGAAAACTTAAGATCAAAGAAAAAGAATAATTTATTTAACAAAAAAGTAGAAATTATATAATCATAAACTCTCATTTAAAAATTAAAAAATAATAATTATAGCAAAAACCTTTCCAAAAAATTTCACAATAACAATAGTAACTTATCACATAACTATTTAAGATATCCACTATAAATCTAAGTAAATATAGGGATGGATCGACGATGTTTTTTTGGCATTAGAGTAATGTAAGTTTTATAAAATTGTTTTGCCAAAATTGCACTATTTTGATTTATTAATATTAAAAAAATTTAAATAAATATTTTTAAAAATTTAAAAGAAAATAATTTTTTTTTTTATCATAAAACTAAACTTTAATTTTAACACTAAGTTTTGCTTACTCATTTTTTGTTACAATAGTAAAAATTTTTTCTTTAGACTCAATGATAATTGATGAAGATGCAAAAAGATTCACCAAACCAACATTTATTTTGGGATATTTAAACCATTCATCGCTCTCGTAAAAAGTTGTTACTCCAGCCCTCTCCAGTAATCGCAAATGGGCTAAAAATAACAATAATATAATAATAATAGAAGATAACATTAACTTATCATATTTTAAAATTATATATATATATATATATATATATATATATATATATATATATATATATATATATATATATATATATATATATTTGAAATTATAAAACAAACCTTCTGCACTTAAAAACTGACAAAAAAGAAATTGATAGCACAAAAATAAAACTTGACCAGGATTCATCCCTTTTCTAAACATTTTTCTTGTTTAAAATGAAAATATAACAATAATGAAATAAAACTAAGCCATTAAAGAGGCCACTGATACCAAATTAATTTTTATATACGTGTCCTTTGATTTGGTTTAAAGAAAAAAATTATAAAAAATATCATCAAACATAGAATGTGTGAGAATTTTAGAATTTAGAGTCAAATATTTATTATTTTGCTCTGGAGTCTTGGAGCTCAAAAAATGTTAAAAATCTTTAAAGTTTTAGACCGGATATATTTATGCAGTTAGGGACTCTCTGGGTTAAAAAAAGTCTCTGGGTTAAACAAATTTCCAGTCTCTGGGTTAAAAAAATTGTAGTTTTAGAAAAATCTAAAGTTCAAAAATTCTTTATATATTAGAAGATCCAAGATTCAGATCCAAATAAAAAACAAGTATTACTTGATTTTAAAACCCAGTAGTCCTTTTCTCTGCACATATTTCTTGTATTTCACATATTTCTATATTTCACAATTTTTTTATACTCACCTGTGTAATTGTCAGAAAATAATAAGGTAATAATTAATAACATAAAACTTTAAGTAAAATAATTTAATAAAAATAGTAAAAATAGATCAAACAGTTCTTGTATTTAATATAAAATCATTAAACACCCTAACAATTAAATAACATGATGTTCATTGAAAATTTAGTATAAAAATAAAAGATATGGTTAGGTATTTATTGCTATTATTTTTAATATAATACATTTGTTGAAATATGTATTTAAAAAAAACTCTACATAGAGCATAAGTAGCATTTGATGTGTGTGTATATATATATATATATATATATATATATATATATATATATATATATATATATATATATATATATATATATATATATATATATATATATATATATATATATATATATTATTGCAACAGTACTATTATCGAACTTTTTTCTTATGATGCCATCGATCTTTTCCAGTTTGTCCCCTAGGCCGACGATTCAGCCACCTACTTCTACCGGCTTTTCCAATAATCTCATTCTTTTTATCAATATTTGATACTCTTCCAATTACAGCCAAACATTTCATGTCTACAAGAGCTTCAGTTCGAGCACCACCATTAAATTTAAGTACAATTTGATTTTCTGGAGTTCTTTGAACAATTGTTGCATACATTCCAGCAGCACGTGCATATTTAGCACCTCCACCAGGAGTTGATTCAATATTGTGTACCATTGTACCTATAGGTAAATATTCTAATGGATATGCATCACCAGGTATCATTCTTGCTAACGATTCAGGTTTCTCACGCGAAGCAGTTAATATATCACCAATTTTTGCTAAATGAGGGCAAATGATTAATTTTGTTTTATTGCTTCCATTTCCAGCAACTTTTGCAATATTTGCTGTACGAAAAGGATCATATCCAATTTGTAATATCCTATCCTTGATAACTTTAGGCTGTTCATCATTTAAGAGAGGCACACGTACTAAGTCAACTATTCTCCAATTTCTCTGGTGGCCACCACCAATGTGTCTGATTTTAATGCGACCATCCTCACCTCGACCACCTTTTTTTTGGTTGCGATAAAACTTTCCATCAATCAAGTGCTTTTCAAGGTCCATGTGCATGTGAGTATTTTTCGGTCTAGTGTAAGACCACTGAGTTCTTCCATTTTGCACAGTATATACTGAGAACTTAAGAGTAAATATGCAATTAATTTGGGAAACTCTTAAAAATTGTCCAGTCGAATTTATTGCATGTAAAGGCCTTAACTGCCTTATAACTGATAACATCATTTTATTCTGTCATTTATTTAATTTAGTTTGTCTCAGCCTATTCTAAAAAAATAAAAATTTTTAAAATAGATAATAATTAAAAACAAATTTTAAAATACAACAAAATTTTATTCTCAAATATTCATTGGTATTGTAGTTTCTTAAATATTCATTTATAATATTTCAAATTTCCACTATAGCGCACATTATTTTTATCGTTGTTTTAAAGTTAACATTATTTTAGAGATTCCCCGGAATCAGGGGTTTGTGTTAATGTTTGAGAGACGCGCGTCTTAAATGTTAAAATACGAAGTACAAGTTGGTAGGACAAGTACAAGTAGTAATAAGTTCAAGTACAAACCAACGTCAGCGATTTTTAAATTGATGAGACCAACCCAAGATTTGAAATAAGGCTCAACATCGATTCTTTAATTTCCAAGAAAAACTTGGTGAATATTAAAAGGGCGGAAGTTCAACTATGAAAACTTTTGGGTAACTATAAAAAACTGCTTTTACCCCGTAGTAAATTTTTGTTAATGGTTTAACAATTTTTTTTTTTTTAAGAGGATAATGTTTTTCACATTCAAAAAAAAATTATCTAGCGATCAACAAAAATTTACTACGGGGAAAAATGCAGTTTTTTTAGTTTCCCGAAAGTTTACATAATTGGACTCCCGCCCTTTTGACAATTACCGACTCAATTAACAATTATAATTATAAATAAAAGTAAAATATTTTAGATAATGGGAAGGATACAATGAGTTAAAACTACCCCTACTAAATTATGTATAATTCTTGTTCATTATGTGCAAACGTAAATAGGGCTAAAAGGTAAAAAGAGAGTAAACTCTTATAAAGTTATTTTTAGAAAAAAGATAGCTGTCGAGCATTACCTTTCCTATAACTTTTTTTCAGCCAATACTGTATATTGTACACAAAAATTTTTAAAAACTTATAATAAATTTTCTGCACAACCGATATTTAGTCATTCAGAAACAATGTTAAGAGAAAAGTTTTTTTTGTTTGACTCGTGAGTTTTTTTGCGCTAAAAATAAATCTGAATCTTTCAATCGATTAACTTCAATTGCAATTTTATCAGTGACTTGATTTGAATGCGAAACTTAAGAAGTTTGGAAGAGCTTTTCTTTTATTAACTCTCAATGATTTATTATTGTTAGCAAAGTTAAAATTATTAATTAATGATGATAGGGCCAGTACATACCTTCCATGCTTAAATTCTAATAGCCATTTAATACTCTTGATCTAAAGATAACAGAGTCCATTTTTTTAAGGATAGTTCTTGAACTTTGTCGGAACCAATAATTTTTAGAGCTTTATTTCGTTAACATTTAACTTGCATCATTTTTTTTTTTTTTTTTTAGTTTAATATTTCCCAAAATAATGTTTGCCGTTTTAATCTACTCCTTTATCTTCAACAATGGTTCCATTCACAAACACTTATCTGTTCTCAACGCCAACAAATTTTTTAGAGGTGACCATTATCCCATTTGTGCTTAAAGAATGTGCTAATGCGATGGCTGCACCACTCGCCATTATTTTACAGAAATGGTTAAATCAAGGTATAGTCCCAAAGGCATGGTTTTCGGTAAACGTAACGTTACTGTTTAAAAAAGGCTCCTGACTCAACTCCAAAAACTACAGACAAAATAATGGGAAAAAATGGAAAAAGATAAAATTTCCTACATCCCATCAAATGACTTCTTGGCAGAAAATCAGCACGGTTTTTGATCTTTTCGTTCTACAGATGACTTGCTAACTGCTGTGACTGAAAATTCTATCGTGCATTAGATTAAGGTGGCGAGGCAAAGGTAATAGCTTGTAAATATCTAAAACTTTTGATAAGGTTTGAAAAGCGGGTCTTCTTCATAAGCTTGCTTTATATGGTGTATTTGGGAAAGTTTTTGAGATTATCAAGTCATTTTTTTTTTAACAGCTTTATTAAAGTCATCCTTAAAACCCAAAACTTTTCTTAATTTCCAGTAACTTCTGGGGTACCTCAAGATTCTATCCTTAGTCTTGTTTGTTGGATGATTTTCCTGACAACATCACATCTAAAGTGTCTCTATTTGCTAATAACGCAACTCTATACTACTGTCTTCACAAAAAAAAATTTTTTTTTTGATTGCTTAGAACAAGCAGCCGATCTTAAATCTGTAATCTCACTTCTGTAACAGATTGGGACTTGCAGTGGCTCCTAAATTGCAACTCCAACAAATCTCAGTTGTTTACTACAAAGAATTATTTCAATACTGTTAACATTTTGAGTCTTCTTCTTTACGTCTCCTTAGATTATTGTTCACTACTGACCTCATGGAAGCCATATTTACAATCGATTGCAAAGATAGCACCTTTTAATGTTACTTTTCTATATTGTGCTCGCCATCATCTTACTCCTGATTTCATTCTCTACCTCTACAAAAACTGATGTCATATTTAGACTGGTTTTTTTAATGATGCTCTTTCTCTTCTAGACAAAGTCCAAAAACGCTTTGTAAATGTAGGTTGACCTGCTTTATTTGCCAAGCTTGAACCGCTCTTCCATCATCGTAAGATTGCATCTCTTTCTCTTTTCTACAAATAAAATCATGGTTGCTATCTCAAAGGAACTATAATCTCTAATTTAATCAACGAAAAATTATTCTCGCTTGATTCGTCATTCAGTCTCATCCTTTTACTATATCTGTCCCAGCATGCTCTAAAAACTTTTATTTGTCTAGTTTTTTTCCCTGCACTTCAACATTTTGGAACTCTCTCCTATCTTCACGTTTTCTTGACTCATACAACCTACATTTTTTCAAGTCTTATGTCAACCGCTTCCTTGATCTTTAACTCTATTCTTTATTTTCTAGTAACTTAATAGTGGTTGCTTAATAGAAATGCCAGGTAATGCACATCATAAATACAACGTTTCATCGCACGTTTACTCAATGAACAAGCTTATAGAAACAACCACAACCATATAGAAAAATCAGCAGAACAAAGCTTGAGTCAACAACATCTGAAAAAGATCAAGGCGTTCAAGTTAACAACAATTTAAATCACAAGAATAAAGCCAAAATCGCAGGGGTGATTTTGGCTTGAATATTTTGCTTTAAATAAAGTTTAGAATCTTAAAACACACATGCGTTAAAATCGGAATATTAAAATACACTTTCATCAGCCAAGGCACCAAAATATCGACAACGTTTTATACTACATATATACACCCACATCTAGAGCTCACAGTTACCACCTGGTTCCCATACATTGAAAAAGACATAAATGTCAAAAATGCACAAAATACCACACGAAATGAAGTGCTTCGACTACGAGATGAAATGTATCAAACTTGGACTCACCTCTCACGATAGATTTTAAGTCGAAACCTTTTCTAAAAATAAAAAATCAAGAACAACTTATCTCAGTTAGCTTGCATATTGCTCCACTTAACTTCCCACAAAACTACGGTCATCGCAAGCGCTTTCATTGAGAAATGGAAAACTTGTTCGTTTCAACTTCAACTCGAACATGTTTGGCTGTCGTAAGTATGTGACTTTTTAAATAAAACAATGGATACGACCAGATAAATACCGTGATTGTGACACAGTTGGCTCTCTGCAGGAGTTATTCGTCTATATTTTTGAATTGATGTAGTACCATCGCGAGTAAACGCAATTATGTACTGTCAATTTTTGTTTCATTAATTCTTTGGTTGTGAATACATCATAGAAAACATCAATTTCAACAAGACCCAATTTATAAGCAACTTTAATGTGAAGAGTTATATTTATATACCTTTTAATGGAGATGTCAGCCCATTTATCAATTGTTAAGCGGCAGATTTTGCTAGCAAATCAGCCAAATTTTCAAGAATAAAGAATCCGTCAATTTTCATTTGTTTTTTCGGAACTTCTGCACAGATGTTTCATCTAATTTCTTATTTTTTAGTGTTATACTATGAATAGTTCTCATGTGGATATGCACTCAAACCTTTACATTTTATAAAAGAATTACACAGGGTACATATTGCTTTACTAGCTGAATAGTATAATTTTGTGAAACACTTGCAGACAGAAGAGCTTTGTTTTGACATGTTGTTTTTTAGTACTTGTTTTTTATTGGTTATATTTATATAAAGTTAAATAAAATAAAAATTAAATAGATAAATTTCTTATAGATATAAATATATGGATTCAAGACTGCCTAGGAAAAAGAAATATCCAAACTCCCAAGTAGAGGTGTGGAGTCGTAAAAAAAAAGTACCAACTTCGACTCCGACTCCAATCGTTGAAATTTTCAGAGTACGACTCCGACTCCAACTCTAAGGTTGGAATGCAAGAAGCAAACTTGAGTCAAGTTCGACTTGAACTTTACTTTGTAACCAATAGCGGCAGAGTATTTTTTGAGGGGAAAACCCATACTCTGTCGCTATTGGTTGCAATGTAAAGTTCAAGTCGAGCTTGACTCAAGTTCGCTTCTTGCATTTCGCCCTACGTCCAACTCCAACTCCGACTCCAAAACAAAGTTTTTAAAAAATTCTTTGAATTCTTCAAAAAATATTTCGTAATAATTAAAATTTTTTATTTTTGCTAAATATATGAAATATTCTCTGAAGATTAAATGCACATGTAAAAAGAAGTTTTACTATTGGAGTCGGAGTCGCGATTTTTTTAGCGACTCCGACTTCGCTACAAATGTCGCGACTCCGACTCCACGACTCCAACTCCGATTCCACAGTCCTGCTTCCAAAGGGAACGTTAATAATCATGTTTATTACTTAACTATGTAGTTATTGAAGTGAAACTTAGAAACCATGTATTTCTTGAAGAGTACCATACAGATACCAATCAGATGCTTATAAAATTTTATTTCGTGGTTTTTGAAAAATAACCGTTAATCGGTGTTCCTGTTTAACTCTTTCGCTACTTGTCGTTTTGATAAAAACAAATTTCGCAACTAACTATATATCAATAGAAAGATAAACAAATAAATTTTTTAGTTATCTAAGTTTGGCGAAGTATATTTAAAAGCGGTTACCAGCGGAGTGTGGTAATCAAAGAGTTAATAC